GCATGTCTGGACACGGCTCCCGGCCTATTCCTGCATCCCTCCCCTCCAGGGATGCTCTGCAAGACGGGGACACAGCCGGGAGCTCCCTCTGTGGTGGTTGATGTCAGTCAGCATGCTGTAATGTCGTGGGGAAACTGAGGCAGAGCTGGTTCAGGAGGAGCCTCTGCCTGGGGGGCTGCACTGCTTCTCTGTCCCAATCCAAACTCTCACTCCAGTTTCCCTTTCTGTTGTTTTTTTCCCCTTTCAGTTCTTTAGACCTTTTAGCAAGAAGGCAGAGGATGGGATCAGGATTACCAGTGAGTATTCAGAGCCACGGGGTTTTTTTTACCCTGGGTGTGAACAGCCCTGCTGCCCGCACACCCCATGCGTTGGGACCTCGGGGAGCCTGGGGGACAGCCCAGAGCAGCTCCCCTTGCCTCAGCTTTCCCAGGACTGAGTCCTCGACATCCTGTCCCCTTGCAGATCCCAGTGCCACCGTTGAGGACCTGCGCCATGCCATCATCACCAACCTGGAGCAGAGCCAGGACGCCTGGCCGCCCGCCTGTCCTCCGCTGGAGCCAGCGAGGTAGGGATGGTGTGATGGGGGGTGGTACGATGCGGGGATGGCCCTGGTGACCTCCATCCCCTGAAGAGCAGGTTTCTGGGGAAATTCTGAGTCAAAAATGAGTATGGAGCAGGTAGTGCATCACTCACATCTCAGGGAGACCTGGCGAGGCTAGAGCCATTAACGTGGCTTGGATGAGATGGCTACGTTGTTGCATCTCCTAATTAACCTGCTTGTCACCCTTAATTAGAGTAGGCGGTGCCTGGGCCAGGGATGTGGCAGTGCCTTCCTGTTCAAGTAAGGCTGCTGCTGTTTGCAGCTTTTTCCTGCCACAAGAAAAGGTTTTCTTGATTCAGTACAAATTTGTTGGGATCAAGTTGTCTTTGCCGGATGCAGGCGGTTGCTCCACTGTCCAGGGGGGAGCATTTGGCTTTCCCAAAGCAATGGTTGTGCTGGGAACATGCTTCAGGTCTCCACCGTGCCCCTGCCAAAAAAACAGCAGCCCTGGTTCAGGTTCATTGCTGTTTTTCCCCTGGGTGAGCATGCAGCTCCCTCCTGCCCTGCCCTGCCTGGGCTTTTGTTTTCTGCCTCCTTGGCTGACCCTGGCAGGTTTTCTCAAAGCCTGTGAACCAGAGCAGAAAATTGGGCTGGAAACTTCAGCAAGGAGGAACTGCCCGCTCGGTGGGGCTGAACATGCACCAGCATCCCCTGCTGAATCCCCATGGGCGAGGGCAGAGCATCCAGCTGATGCTGAGGCACCCACTGCCATCCTCTCCTCTTTTGCAGCGCAGAAGAGGTTCACAGCTTCTTCCAGAGGAACAAGGACCAGTACCTGGCACTGATCTTTGAGAACAGCAACTCCTTTGTGGGCAGAGAGGTGGGTACAACTGCGTTTATCTCCCATTGCTCTTGAAGCCTGTGTCCCTGATGCCAGGTAATTCTGGGGTGCCTTTGGCAGGGAAGTCCTCTCCTGGCAGCTTCCCCAATCGGCTTGCACGCTGCTTTGCAGGTGCAAAGTGTTACACCGGGTGCTAAATAGCCCTGCTGTGTCCCTGGTGGGGCTGGGGGTCCTATCCCCTCCCCGCCTGACCCCAGGGCTGGTGGGCTTGCAGGTGGCACTGGACATGCTGCAGTATGAGAACGTGGCAGTGAGGAGGGTGCTGAGCAGCGAGGAGGAGCTCGTGGAGAAGTTTGGTGTCACCACCTTCCCCTCTGGCTACCTAGTCTTCCGCAACGGCTCCTTCTCCCGCCTGCCCGTGTGAGTGAGGGACACGAGGGGGGTGGGTCTGGGGACACTGGTGGGGTGCCAGCCTTGTGCCTCATCTCTCCACTCTTCTTTGTAGATGTGGGAAAATTTAT